TATTTTTTTAAATTTAAATAAGTTTACAAATATTTACATGGCAGAAAAATTTTACATTACTACTTCATTTCCGTTGTAATTATTTTTTAAGTGTAAATAAGTTTACAAATATTTACATGATTGGCAAAAGTTTTGCAATAAGTTAAGTACTAAATTGATACAGTATAAATATTTAAATTTAAATTTCTATATTCTGATTGTTCAAAACAATTAAAACATATGAAAAAAACAACAGCGTTTAAAGAAAGTATTTTATTTTATTGCATGCAAATGTTAAGTTTGGAAAGTAGTTTTTATAACAAAGTATTTTTTAAATTACTATTCAAGGTAAGCTGCTTAAATTACCTTGTTATTTTTTTATAATTTTTAATGCATCACATCAAAAGTTGTAGAAAGTTTTGTAGGATTATTTAATAAAACATATTGAATTTTTTTCAATTAAAATTTTCTTTTCAATAACAACAATTTAAGTAAAATTCAGAGAATATTGCACATAGTATGTGCAATTTATTTATTCTTGTTTGGAAAAAGTCTTACAAAAAATTGTATAAAATAATTAACTATTATTACAATGACTACATTGCTACAGGGTTACCACATGAAACTTTATAAAATATGATAAGACATATTCGATAATGTACAAAAAAAAAATGGTTTACATATTGAACAACTACCTTGATAAAATTATTCACCAAAATTGACTAAATTATTCTAAACTTATCATATGTTTTTCTTGCGATTCAATTAAATAGTTATAAGATTGTAATATTTTTAATCAATCACCCTGTTTAATTTCTATATCAAATATTCTATAGTGTTAATAATAATATCGTAATTAATGTTACGATACATAAATTACTTAAAAGAAAATAAAAATTATTTCTCACAAACATTTCACTAGCATTAATAGAGAGATTGGTTCGAAATATTTTTCATAAATACTTTTTACAATGACTTTAATAAAGACATAATACAAGCTTTTGATAACAAAAATTTTGATAAAAAATATTTTTTTTTATAATGATATTAAAAATAAAAACTTTAAATTTATTAAGATTTAATCCAAATAAATAAAAATAAACTTTAATAATAAATATCAACATTACAAAAGTATCCAGATCTTTTAAAATGGAAATAAATTTTTGAAGAATTGATACTCACCGAGCAGATCTAACCCTTGGTGATTGGTACATTATTTCTACTTTATGAAGAACAAGTTTATCTCGAGATTGTTCACTTGGTATTTCGTCATTCATGATCTTTTTTTCCAAATGTTGAAAGAATGATAATTATCATCTGCTCATTGCGCCGGATATTGTTATTTTCACTCTCACACAGGATGTAAAACATTTTCATAATTTATTGATAAATTTACGGAAGCCGATATTCCTGGAAATAATTTTTTTTTATTTCCAATGGCAGGCTACAATAAGTAATAAAATATGAAAGAAAAGGAACACAAAGAACATGAAAACAACAACGAGAATAGAAAGAAATCACATAGTGACTTGTTTAGCCCATAAGGGCCCTAGCCTCCCAGTAACGACCATACATAGTAGAGGAAACAAGTGCAGGGCAGACAGGAAGGTGAGATGAATCCATGTCCTCTCCAAGACTGCAGAGCATGCATTTTGGGCCTGTAAATTTTTCATACGAAAAAGATGATTGGCCATACAATCATGGTCCGTCAGGAGTCTGAAAAGGGCATCTGCTTTAAACCTGGTCTGATCAGGGATGTTTAGAATAAAGTTAAATCAGGTTTTAGATGAGTTGCCTTCAATTAGATTATCAAATAGAGAGTTCCGAAAAAAGTCTCGGATCATCAGTTTCATCGAGTGAAAAGAGATGTCTTTACAAAAGGTTTGGATGATGGTTGTTCCTTTTTTGGCAAGAGAATCCGCCTTCTCATAACCCAAGATCCCACAATCCTGGAAATAATAATAAGAAAAATGTAGGCTTACTACTGTGCCCAAAAAGTAAGACCAATTATTATTTTTTTCATAAACTCTTTATTTATTCTTCCAAATTCATTTCCATCGCTTTCAAAGTAATTCCCTCCGGACACAATGCACTTATGCCAACTATTTTTTTCCAATCCTCAATGCGTGCTAAAAAGTCATCGGCAGGATGGCCTTCAAAGGGCGCGGCGATTCATGAAGAATCTCCTCAATCGACTCAAAACTGTGTCCCCTGAGTGGTCGCTTGAGTTTAGGGAATAGCTAGAAGTCGCACGGTGTGAATACGGTGGTTGTGGAATGATATGAGTTTCATTTTTGGCGAAAAAATCACGAAGAATCAATGCAGTGTGAGCTGGCGCATCCAGTGTTTTCGGTACCAATCGAGATTTGACGCGTTTGAGGCCCAAAATGGAATTGGCCGATCCTTTTGAAATTCCATCATCAGAAGTGTCTCTAATTGTAAGTTGACTGTTTACAAGCACCAAATCTTTTATTTTTTGGATGTGAGCTTCTTCGGTTGTGGTTGGTGGTTGACCAGAGGGCTCTTCGTCTTCAACGCGTTCTCTGCCTTCTTTGAACTGTTTATACCACTTCTAAACATTTCTTTCCGATATAGGAATGCTCACCGAATGCCTTCTGTAACATTCTACATGTTTTCTCAAATAAAATTTAATGAGAATTCTTTGCTCAATTAATTCAGGCATTTCAAAAATCGTCGAAATCAGTTTTAGCGTCCCACAAAACCAAGCGTAACTCAAACACCAATGAATATTTCGTCGTCAAATTTCACACAGATGTCAAGGATAGTGCAACCAACCTAAAAAAAAAAAAAATGGAATTCCATTAGCCCCGGGAATTTTAAACTGAAAATTGATCTTAATTTTTGGACACAATAGTATATAGTTAAGAAATTTGTTTGTAAAGGTAAAGAAAAATCTTTACATATAAAATCATCCATCATCTATTTTATGTTCTGCCTTTTGGATTTAATGTGTGCTTTCATTTATTTAATGGTGCATTTATTTATTTAGCTTTTTATATCTTGTATTTAATGTCATATTTTTATTCAATTTATATGTTTTTGAATGATGAAATTGAAATGCATAGTTCCATGATGTGTGATGCGCCAATTGTGTAAAAATATGAAATGATCAATTAGCAGCTGAGTGCCTAAATACTTAACATGTTATTAACAAAAATTTATGTTACGTGTTGTATTTATCTTCTATATTTTGGATTGAATGTGTGCTTTCATTTATTTAATGGTTCATTTATTTCATTTTTTATTTATCTTTTTCTATATTGTATTCAATGTCTTCTTTTTATTCAATTTAATTGTTTTTGAATGGCGACACTAGAGTGTATAGTTCGTAGATGTGTGATGCCCTAATTGTGTAAAAATATGAAATGGTCAATTAACAACAGATTGCATAATATTTAACACGTTTTTAACAAAAACACCTTTATATATTGTATTTGTGTTCTTCAGATTAAATGTGTGTTTTCATTTATTAGTTTTAACGTTTTGTTTATTTTATACTTCCTTCCAATTGTGAAAGTATGATGCGTCAATCTTTATATCAGTTAGACGCCGGATATTAGGCTTTGACGTATTTCTGCGTATGGTGGATATGAAGTACATTTTAATAATTTATTTAAACCGGGATTTCTCAGTATTTGTTATCAAATTTTCAGTCATAATTATCATCTCTCCAAACAATAACAATGCATACAATATTGCTTTTTGAATATTTTGATGCTAAATATACACTGCAACTTTGATTACAAACCTTGCAAATTACCAAGAATAAATAAATTTATTGATATTTAGCGCAACACCCATTTCCTGCATTTACAAAACTAGAATCGATGCCTCTTTAGTGGCCCCGTCTATGTCCACCAAATAGAAGATTATTGCCCCTTCATCAGAAGTTTCCATTTGTCTGAACATTCTGGAACGTACATATTTTTAAAGAGAGATGCAGAATATTTTATACTGATAAAAATTTAATCCCTTAATTGAACTGAAACATTTTAATAAAAAATGCAATTTCATTCTGAATAAAAAGCTTCAGTAGCCTTCCACTTTAAAATTATTGATAATTTTAAAGGGGAAGACTACTAAACTTAATTCTGTCTTGACATCTATAAGCACTGTATGCCAGACATGAAGTTATCTGGCTAATTGCAAACACTTTATCTTTCTGGAGCACAGTTAAATAAACACTTATATTTTAAAACTTGATGTGTTAAAAAATAAGTTTTTATTAATTTGTGTCAAGTGAATTATCAAGTGTTGCTTAATTAATTTAAGTAATAAAGAGTTAAATAACGCATGGTATGTTTTACAATGCTTACGGATTCGAAAGGTAACTTTAACACTCACAACAGAAGCTACCCCTTTTCTTTCTACCCTGAGTCCATACGGTTCGTGGGCTTGGTCTAGATGTCTACCAAGTGAGATAAAAAAACAACAGCAATAACAAAGTTAACTTATTAGATAACTTATTCTTTGTCATGTGAGACAGGTTTTTCAAACAAAAAAGAAATTAAAGAAAGACATCAAATTTATCTGGAATATTGTTATATAATTTAAATATATATATATATATATATTGTTAATAGTTTTTGTTTATATATTGTTAATTGATTAATCAACTAATTAATGAAAATCGTATAATTCGCAATTTATTTTTCTGGTATTATTGTAATTTCTATTAATTTAAATACAATTTCTTATATGTTTTAATTATGTTGTTGTTTCTTATCCCCACTTGGCTGGCCAAGCCCACGAGCCCATACGTACTCATGATTGAAGGGGAAGGAAGCAGCTTCTGTTGTGATGGAGCACCCGTAGGTAGAAGTCTGACTATGGCTGCGTGACGCTCTTACAGTCATAGGAGACCGGGACCTACGGCTTAAAGTGGATTCCGAACCACTGCAAACATCCATGGCGCCGCCGGGATTCGAACCCGAAACCTGTGGCACCGAGCGCCAGAGCGCTAGACACTCGGCCATTCAGGTCCCAAATTTGTAAATGCCAACGGCACGCGGTGTTCCCAAGTGGTCACCCACCCACCCAAGCACTGACCGCGCCCAATGATGCTTGACTTCGGTGATCGAACGAGAACCGGTATATTCAGCATGGTATGGCCGTTGGCTTGTTTTAATTATGAATCTCACATGTAAAACAATTTATTTTTTTTTAATTCGATGAAAATTTGTACCCAATGATGGATTGCTCGTGGCATACATTAGTGGAACACGCGATTGATGTTTCAGCAAAAAAAAAAAAAAAAATGAAATTTAATATAAAATATTTTTAAATATCTAATACAAATTCAAATATCTAATTAGCTATACGTCAAAATTGTCTTTTTCAATTTTTATGTATTTTTTAAATAGCCATATAGATTATCAATACTAATTTGACCTTAAATATTTATTGTTGGCTCTCTATAAAATGGGAAATTACGAATCTACTGAGATAAAATGTCATCTATATGCACAATTTGAAAAATTATACTTTTTAAAAATATATAATTCATATTTTTATTTTATATTTCCTATTTAAAACTTAATATTTTTGTTATTAATACTTTTAAACCTTTAAAAAAATATTTTTTTTAACAAAAGTTTCACTGAAGCAGCTACTATCTTACTATCATATACTGACGAATATAATCTATACTATAAGAAATTTAATGCATCTTTTTCTAAATTATGAAATTTATAGACTGAAATTCATACACATTTTTTTTTCAACAGTCCATGGTTTTATAAAATTGATTGAATGATAAATTTATAACGATAAAAAAATTAATATAGGAGGTGATGGCATAGAATATCTTTTCAAAAATTTAGATTTCTTCTTAAAACTCTGAATAAGTTTACTGTATTTCAAATTTGAAATTCAAGTTCTTTAAGAAAGTGTATAAGTGTAAAGTATTCTTTAATGATATATGTATGGAAAGGAAGTAGAAAACAAAACAAAAAAAATCAATAATATATTAATGTATTGTTAAAAGATTAGTAGCCTGTCAAATCCTTCTTTTATTCAAACCACCAAAGACAGATTTAATATTTCATTTTATTAATTTTATATACATCAGATATATAAAAACAAACTGTGAAACAATCATGAAAAATTGAATATTATATGTACTTTATATTTAATCATGCATTCACTTCAACCTTATTTTTATTTCTACACTTGCTAAACCTTCGTTTTTGCGCCACTCATACCAGTGAATACTTCTTTTATCGTGTACACCAGGTATATAGAGTCCATTTAAATGACTGAAAGGCCACTGGAACATCCACCAAGCTCCTCTTAGTCCTTCGGCCAACTGAAGGTGATCATTGTCCAAGGTGGCAAATCGCTTACCATCATGAAACCTCATGCTGTTGCCTGAAAATTAAATGCTGTATTATCATTCAATAAAAAATAGATTTTTTTTTAATGCCTTACTTGTTAGTATTATTTTTTTGTTTTTTATTTCCAATGGCAGATTATGAACAGTTACAGCAAAAAAAAGGAAAAAAAAAAACATACAACAACAACAAAACATGCTGAAGACAAGTTCATTAATCTAACAATATGCCAAGTTGCAGATCTTTAAACCACTCGTGTTACCAGGTGCACCACGGGGAGGTAATCTACTGCGCACCGCCTTTTGTATTTTTCTTTCCATTTGGGCTGGCAAACACAGACAGCCTGGTCCACCTGCCTTAAGGCGTGCTGCCCCTCGGTAACGTCACTTTGCATTAACCAGGGGCGCGTGCTAAGAGATAAGCCACACATGTAACAACGGCGATCGTCCTCGAACACGTTATATAGCGGACCTACGGTTTTAAAGTGGATTCCGGGACTACAAACAACCCTGGCACCGCCGTTGACTCGGGTAGAAACCAACCGAGCGGTGGGGATGAGTTGCCTTACTTATTGATTCCATGTTTCTCCTAGAGCCGAATGGAGCCGAATAAGGAAAAAAAATCCTGCTTGCATGTAATTTTGGGGGACTGTCGTAGCTTTGAATTTGAAATCAGCTATTTTTGTCTCGTGTATTTGTTGGTAAAACTTAATGCCGTTGCTCCAATTGGTATGACCATTATTTCGATTATCTTTGTGCGATTTAGACAATTTTGGTGTAAATCGAAAACTAATATTCCCATGTTTTCATTTTTTGGTATTACAAGTATTTTTTATTCATTAAATTCTGTGAAAGAGGGGTATATGAATGATCAAGAAAAACCTTATTTTCTGAGTTGCAACTTGGTTATAATGCGTCGGCACTCATAAAAATTGTGTTTCATCTTTGGACCACCTAAACTTAAAGTGGGTTTGAAGATGGTTTGAAAAATTCAAGTCAGGTGACATGAAGCTTTAAAATGAACCTCTCACAGGAAGACCAAATGATCTTGATGACGACGTTCTAAGGGCTTTAGTGGGTAATGAACCACTATTGACTACAAACAGATCGGAGATAAGTTAAGCATTTGCCACGTAACAACTGAAAACCTTTTGAAAAAGCTTGGCTTTGTCTACAAATGGTGTCTTTAGATTCCCCGTGAATTAAGCTAAAAAAAAAAAAAAAGCAAACCGAATTTCTATTGCTTATTATTTACTTCTTCAACAATAATTCAATAATATTTACTTATTCAACAACTTCAATTACAACATGAGCCTAGCCTATCCTTGCGAAAATCAATTTGTACAAAAAAATGTGATGCATTGCATTTGGTGGGATTGCCGAGGTCCTATCCACGGAACTATTGCAACTAGATCAAAAATCACAGCAGACATATGTTGGGATTATCTAATCCGACTGACTACAAAAATAAGCGAACTTCATTAAGCGCTGTATAACAGAAAATGTGGTGTTTTCCAACAGGATAATACAAGGTCTCACGTGGCTTTAAGTACGAAGCAGAAGCTCTATGATCTTGGCTACGAAGTTTTATCTTATCCATCATACTCATTGTGATCTGGCATCATTTATATATTGTATCATTTATGGTACAGAAAAAAATAAGTTAATATTTTCTAGTATAACAAAATTTATTTCAGAATTTTTTTAAAAAATCGAGAAAACCCAGACAGGGATCAGACATTTATGTTAGGCTAATTTATTAGTGTGCCTGGTAGCATGTAGGAAAGACAGATTGGAAAGTTTTGATTTAGAATATATATTAATAGATAAAAAAGATCGGCTAAACATCATTAACCTACCCGCCATCTGTTTAAAATTTTACAAGCATTTATTATATAAATATTGTCCTTATACGCACTACAAGAACCCCCTGTGAGTTCACTGTCTGTTCTGTAGGCCTTTAGATTCTCACCCGAGAAGAAGTATTGCACAACTTGTGGTCCCTCAGATTACAAATATTTAGTTTTTAGTCTCACATCACGAGAGGAAATATATGTAACGCAACCCTGCCTATAGAAAGACACAATTAGCTCGAGTCTTTAAATATGTTACATATTGTCTGTAATTGTATGTTGTTTTGTTTGTGCGTGTGTAACTAAATCTGTGTGTTCTCCAACCTGTGCTTCAAGTATCTCAACCCAACCACATCCATTTACAATCCAGTTACCGAACATGCACACTACAGTATTCAAAATATTATTTGATATAAAGCTGAAACTGAACAAAAAATATTCATATAATTTATCAATTTCATATAACTTACCTGCGTTTCCACTATAACCTCCAATGTGCAAAGTGTACTTGGACGCTTCATTGTCAATATGAAACTTTTTATAAATTGCGAAACGACGAGATCTTTTTGCGTCTTCCAGATCAAAACGTATTTCGCATGGTCCTTGGTTGCTCAGGGCGTATATGTTGTCGTTGCCTAATTAAAATTATGCAGAGTTATTGTGAGCAAAACAAAATATACATTCAAAGAAAATCAATTGAGCCATAGAATATAGAAGAGTTTCAAATATACATGCCTAGCCAGAAATCTTTCGTAATGTCCCCGAAACCATTTTTGTAGTGATCCCACGCCAAATCAAATCTTTGAGGATTTGGGTAGTTTCCTCTCCTTTGGATTACCTCAAATAAAGAAAGTAATCACCAGTAATTAAAATTTATTTCAATAAATATGTTTATATATGCAAAATTGACATTACAAAAATTACGAATTTAAGTACTACATTAGATGAATTAAAAGAAAATACGAATAAATAAATGATTATAATAAAGAATAAATTTTTCCTTAGAAGCCATTTAATAGTTATTGCTGTTGTTTTGAAATTGACTACGGTTCTGTTGTATTTTTTTCAGAATTATCTGTGTCAGAAAAAAAAAATTTTTTTAAACAGAAAACTCATATGTTTATAGATTTATGAATCAAATTACTGTGAAAAATATGAAATAATTTTTAGAAAATCCTTATCAATAAAAAGAATAAATTTTCATTTCCAATGACAAATTAATTCTCCATCAATAATGTATTACATCGAATGGCAAATTTATGCTCCATCAATAATATGTTATATCCAATCTCAAATTAATTCTCCATTAAATAATAATTATTGTTTCATTAGAGATTTATTCAACCATTTTTTGAATTACTACATAAATGACTATTTTTTACTATTATTAATTTATTTGCATTAAGATTGTATATTATGTTTGTTATTTGCATTAAGATATTCAAATTAGTATTGAAACTATCAATCACATAAAATTAACACACATATAATTAAATGTTGACATGGCTAACTGCTATTAAATATTTTTTCAAATATATGCCTTTTTGTTTTAAAAAACATGTTTTCTTTCAGATAAATAAAATGTACATTAAAATGCATATAAATGATATTTAAAATGCATTCAAAAAGAATTTAAAAATTTACAACAACATCTGTTATGTCTTAATATTTTTTAAGTAGAGGAAAAAAACCCACAAAATTAAATTGAAGAAGCCAGCATTGACAAATTCAGTAGACTAAACATAAAACGCGGGAAATAAAAATGTTACATAAAATCTTTAAGAAGACAATTTTCGTCAAATGAAACACTTTTCAAAAAATATTGGAAATTAAAAACACACTACATTATACATTAATAATTTTTTATTTGTACGCCATAATACACTGAAGTGACAAAAGTCATGGGATAGCAATATGCAAATTTTCAGATGG